TCTCGATCTTTTTTAGCTCTTGTCGATTATGCTTTCAATCTATATCCTGCATAACCTATTTCCTATCTAACATTCCTCGTTCCCCCAATTCTGTCTTATTTTTCTGTGCTAGGGTTTCCTAAGAGGACGAGCAGCCCAATTTCAGCTCTCACTCAGCAGTGTCTCAGTGTTCTCATGGACGAGGAAGATTTATCCAGGAAGTTTGGGGATTTCCAGCTATCAGGCAACGAATCCAACATCATCCCCCTTATCACAGACGATATTCAGATCAATAAAGAGGAATGTAGCCGCAACATTTTTGGGAAAATAATCGGTCAGCGAAAGGTCCACCTTCTTGGCCTCAAGAGAGCCCTCAACCAGATCTGGCAAATTTAAGCGCCGATGACAATAAGAGAGCTCAACACAAACTACTTCCAATTCATATTCTCTAACTTGGAAGACAAGGCAAAAGTTCTGAGAGGCACTAACTGGCTTTTCGACAACCAATATCTGATCCTGCGAGATTGGTCTGAGGACATCAACAGCCAACACGAGAGCTTCAAAGAATTGGAAATCTGGGTGCAAGCTTGGAATGTCCCAATACATTGGATCTCTACAGACGTGGGGCTTAAAATCGGCAAAGCGTTCAAAAGGGTTAAAAACGTGGTAATACCCCAAACCGGAACCTTAGCCGGGAAATGCCTCAGAATGCTTGTTACTATGGATATTGAACAACCTATCCTAAGGTTTGCTTGTCTTCAATTGGATAACAAAAAAACAGTCATCGAGTTTGGTAACACAAAACTCCTCGACCGGCTGGAACTTGAGTAATCGCCTTCCTTCTCGCCGGTTGAACGTCGTGCACCTACAAAGAACTCTCACACCGGAGGGGTTTTCCGGTGAAGAGCCTCCGAAGCTTAAGTCAGTGTGTATTCAATCAATTCTCAAGAGTAAGTAGAATGATCGTGTTGAATAAGAAAGGCTCACCCCCTTTATATAGAGGTGAGATACCTGACCTAGGGCTGCCCGGATTTGATGAGCTGTCTGCCCTAGCTGCCCGTCCGTATGCACCAAACGCGTGTGTCAGAGGTAGCCGTCGCCACTATCGCCTGCACCAATCCTCTTTGGACGCGTGTCCCCCTGCACATGGGGTAGGCTGTCAGAGGTGGTTATCGCTATCCTCCACTGCTTTCCCGACACGTGTCCCCCTGCACATGGGGTAAATATTCTCCTGGAATTCTGTCAGAGG